GTGTGTGTGTGTGTGTGTGTGTGTGTGTGTGTGTGTGTGTGTGTGTGTGTGTGTGTGTGTGTGTGTGTGTGTGTGTGTGTGTGTGTGTGTGTGTGTGTGTGTGTGTGTGTGTGTGTGTGTGTGTGTGTGTGTGTGTGTGTGTGTGTGTGTGTGTGTGTGTGTGTGTGTGTGTGTGTGTGTGTGTGTGTGTGTGTGTGTGTGTGTGTGTGTGTGTGTGTGTGTGTGTGTGTGTGTGTGTGTGTGTGTGTGTGTGTGTGTGTGTGTGTGTGTGTGTGTGTGTGTGTGTGTGTGTGTGTGTGAGAGCACCGCAGCTATCGAGTGGCTCAAGTGGAGTGGGTACAAGACGTCCTTCCAGAGGCAGGCTCTGATGCAGCAAACAAGGTGCGCCCCCAAGCCAATGCGCCCCCAAGCCAATGCGCCCCCAAGCCAATGTACCTCCCAATGTACCTCCCAGTGCGCATTGACTTCAGTCAGCTTGAGGTGTATTGCTACCTACGCGCTTCAAAAGCTACTGGTCTAGTTTTCTACATCTAGCTCTCTCGTTCCTGCACACACTCCCCCACCCACTCTTGCAGCTATCATTGCTAGCAGAGGAGGTGGCAGGGGTGGCAAGAGAGTGGGTGGCTCGAGTTCTCTCCACTGCTCGTGAAAGTAATGCCCTTTACCTTACCCGTCCGATTTCCCTTTCCTTTTGCCCATGCCCTTGCCCTTCCCCTTGCCCTTCCCCTTGTCATCCTTGCCCTTCCCCTTGCCCTCCCCCTTGCCCATCCCCATGCCCACCCCCTTTCCCTTGCCCTTCCCTCCCCTCTCCCCTCATTTTACCCAGCCCACGCATCCCTCTCCTTTCCGCAAGTTATGAGATGTCCATAAGGCACAGTCCTGTATTATGCTTTCCACATGCTGCCTCTGAACCATTCATTCAAGTATTCTCTGCGTCATCAGTACCACTAAATCCCCAGTATCTTTCCTTAGCCCCAAAGCCTGTCCCAGCTTTTTATGTGCTTTCTTTGCCCTCAGCTGTCCCCTGTCTTCTGTGTGTGATGTATTGCCCTGTGGGGTGATTGCGTGTGGGGGTGTGGGTGTGTTGGCATGTGTGCATGTGTGAATGCGTGCATGCATGCATCAGATCGGCGCAGCAGGCTAATAGAGCATGTGAGGAGTGCTGGAGACATCCCCCCTGCCAGCCAGCCCGAACGCCTCAGCTTCTGGGTAACTTGCGCTTGCAGACACGCAGCACACACATGCATGCAGATGGCATGCACAAGGCACACGCGCAGCACACGCCTGGCACGCACAGCGCATGCTGTGTGCTAAGCTCTGTGCCATGCTTTGTGCCTTGGTCCGCGCGCGCCTTGGTCCGTGCGCGCGCCTTGGTCCGCGCGCATGCCTTGGTCCACACGCGCGCCTAGGTCCACGCGCGCGCCTTGGTCCACGCGCGCGCCTTGGTCCACGCGCGCGCCTTAGTCCACGCGCGCGCCTTGTTTCACGCGCGCGCCTTGTTCCACGCGCGCACCTTGGTCCACGCGCGCGCCTTGGTCCACGCGCGCGCCTTGGTCCACGCGCGCGCCTTGTTCCACGCGCGCGCCATGGTCCACGCGCGCGCCTTGGTCCACGCGCGCGCCTTGGTCCACGCGCGCGCCTTGGTCCACGCGCGTGCCTTGGTCCACGCGCGCGCCTTGGTCCGCGCGCGCCGTGGTCTGCGCGCGCGCCTTGGTCCGCGCGCGCCTTGGTCTGCGCGCGCGCCTTGGTCCGCGCGCGCCTTGGTTCACGCGCGCATGCCTTGGTCCACGCGCGCGCCTAGGTCCACGCGCGCGCCTTGGTCCGCGCGCGCCTTGGTCCGCGCGCATGCCTTGGTCCACGCGCGCGCCTTAGTCCACGCGCGCGCCTTGGTCCACGCGCGCGCCTACACACACGCTCATGCACACATGCTCTTACACACACACACACACACTCACACACACACACACACACACTTACACACGCACACCCTTAGACACACACAAGCACATGCACACTTACTACACACTCACACACACACACACACACACACACTCAGACACACACAAACACATCATGCAGTAGCAACCACGCAGTAGCAACCACGCAGTAGCAACCACGCAGTAGCAACCAACCACCGTTGCCTCTGTACCCTGAAATTATGACTGCCTGATCATCCAATCACCCCTCCCCGCTACGCCCCACCTTTCTCTCACCCTCCTCGCCGCAGCTAGCAAACCTGCTTCCAATCCGCCCGGAGGAGAAGGTGTCGTTCCTGCGAATGACCGACCCGGGGCAGGTGAGCAAGGGAGGGATGGCGGGGCAGGGAGGGGGTGGGTGCAGGGGAAGGGCGGACGGGAGGGAGCAGATGGCGAGGGGGCTAAGGTATGGGAGTGTGGAGGAAGAGGTGTCGTTCCTGGGAATGACCGACCCGGAACAGGTGAGCAAGGGAGGGATGGTGGGGGCAGCGGGGTGGGGAGGGCGTGCGCGGGGGAGCAGATAGCATCTAGCTATCTAGGCTTGATGATCATCATGCCTCCACCTGTATCTAATCTCTGCTTTATATCTCCCCCCCATGCCTCGTTTCTTGTGCCTGGCAGCGTCTCACTCAGGAGCTTGCCTTGCTGCGTGCCCATCCCCTCTCATCGTGCCACCTGCAGTGACCATCCATGCCACCTGCACTGACCCATCCATGCCTTGTACCATACCGTACAGTGCCATACCATACCACACCGTGCTATGAATGTGGGACCAGTCACAAGACCTTGCTCTGCTGTGTAAGAGGGACTGGCCATTTGTCCCCTCGTCCTTGTACAGTTAGGTATACGCACCACCATACATGGAATCCCCACCTCACACCCTCCCTCCATGCTTCCACCACCCTCCCTTCTGTACTGCCTACCTGCTCTCCCCGCCATCCGGGGCTCCTTTCCAACCTGTCCCATCCCATCTCCTTAGCTGGTCATTCTCCCCCCTTAGATGAAAACATGTAACTTCCTGTAAAACATTTGATTGTCTACACGAGACGGGAATCTTTTTATGCCTACATACACAGTTTCTTTCTAAAGCTGCTCAAATTAGGTTTTAGCGTTCTTTGTAGACAGACCAGGGGTTTTTTTATCAGAGTAAATTACTCTGTTTCTCTGAAAATCATAGTGGTTTTTGGGGGTCACTGACGTTTCTGGGCAGGGCCTATTTTATCAGTGTAAATAACACTGCTATACTGATGAGAAGGGTGAAATTTAGGGCCTGCACTCATGTGTTTGGGTTTTTTTTTGGGGGAATAGTGTTACACTAATTTGACAGTGAAACGATTTAGACCACACTAATGCTCTGGGGTAAAATTTCCCTTAGCGAAGATTACCCTGAAGAGTGTACAAGGAACCCCCCCCTCCAAACTCTACTTATCGAGACAAAGTCTCCTAGAAATTTCGTAACGATACCCCCAATTTCGTAATGATGCACCACGACGCCAGCACGTGAGTATTGACAACCGACACCGCGTCACTCCATGTCTGCTTGTCAGAATCCCAACCACTAGACCATTGGGATAAAAGGGCTTGTTAAGTAGCGGGTCAGTGCGCCCATAACCCCCCAGGACAACGAGCCTGTAACCCTTCCCTAGGATCAATCGGGGATCACCAGTGGACCTCTGATACCCCCCTCGCACTGGGATGCCCGATGTGCACACACTGGAATTCGAACCCGAGACCTTCGCTCTGATAACATGTCAGAATCCCAGTCACTAGACCACTGGGATAAAAGGGCTTGTTAAGTAGCGGGTCAGTGCGCCCATAACCCCCCAGGACAACGAGCCTGTAACCCTTCCCTAGGATCAATCGGGGATCACCAGTGGACCTCTGACACTGCTTGCAACGTACTGTAGAGGCGATGCAACATGATTGGTCAAATCTGCACTCACTGCAAAAACTTTAACTTTCTTGACTCGGAAATTTGGGACTCGAGGTCCCCAAACCCACGTTCCCCCCGGGAAGCTTGCTGACTCGGCGAAAAAACAAGTGTTGCAGCGAAACCAGACAAGCCACTGCTGCTCAACTTTTGAGTTCACAACCCCCACCCACCAGCGCCCAATTTGGGCCTCGAGCTTGGTTGCTGCCAGCACATACTGAGCTGCCTACATTACAATCAGGGTAAAAAATATACCTACACTGATGCCTCTATGTAAAGTTTTCAAAATTTCAAGTTACACTGATCCGTCAGTGTTTCCAAAAAGGGCACATTGCTCATAAGGGTTTTGAAAAAGGCTACACTGCTAATCGTGAGTAGCCAAAAACCAAACATAGGCCCTGTTTCTGGGTATTTTTGTTGGAAGTTAAATTTTCTCTGATTTGCCAAGGTTTTGATTTTAGGTACTCTGATAGACTAGTGTAAATTTATGGCAAATGCATTTTTCTCTGTACAGTGTACAGAAATTTCGACCAAGCCCCCCCTTAGACTTGGTGGAAAATGGCAAGCAGAATTACTTATCTACAGAGTATGTGCATCTCGCATTTGTGCGGTGAGCGCATAGCCCAACGGTAATAGCTTCGTAGGAGCGCGAAAGGCGTGGATTCAATTCTGATAGGACACTCAGAGCTGGAAAAATTGGTACACTGTTTATCTGGAGTTTTTTTTTCGGAAGTTAAGGTTTCTCTGACAAATCAGAACAACGCTCATGATCAACCCTGAATTTCAGAGTTCCCAAAAAAACAACTCTGAAAATCCGAGTAGTGAAAAAAAAAAACAAAAAAAAAAAGAGCCCTGAGACAGACCTTTGAACTAAGTTGACCACACCAAAGAACGAGCAATGTGTACCGGTATGGTATTGAAATATCACTTTCACATACCTAGTCAGCAGCTCACAGATGTTACCCAGGTTCAGCAGAACACATCCTACCACAGATTCTATGCTGGTTGGATTGGTAGGAAGCATGTGTTAGAATCATAGGCTAAAGTGAAAGTCGACTATCGAGAGAGTTGGTACACGGAAGAAACCTAAGGGGTTGTACCCCACAGTGAGTAACCTACTAAGCCTACCCAAACTATAACATATATGAACATATGTTTGACACACCCCCATAGGCAGAGTGGGGGAGAACAGAGGGTCACAAGACCAGTCAGGAAGTGCAAAGCAAGCTCAGGGTGGATCACAACGTCACCACGCAGTCTGAGCACAAGCAAGAAGGCCACAAGGCCAGTTCACATGCAGAAATATATATGTAACAACAACAGTACAGTGATATCTACCTACAAGAACAAGCATGCAGGAATACATATAAATCATGGTACAAACAAAGCCTACAGCAAGTGAGGAAGAGTGGGCACAAGGCCTAACAAAGTGCAGAAACGCTGATGATCACCAGGCAGAATTGCCTTGGTGAATATATCAGCAGTGTTGGCCCGAGTGGCCACGTAGGTAAGACGAAGCTGGCCACGCTGCTGCAACTCTCGAGCAAGAAAGTAACGGAGAGCGATGTGCTTTGTTCTGTGCTCCAGTCTGTGCTCCTGACACAAGGCAATGGCGGCCTTGTTGTCGACGTACAGAACTGGAGGAGAACGAGGCCGCTCTCCCAAGTCGGTCAGCAGGTAGGTGAGCCAGCGCAGCTCCTGTGCAGCCATGGCTGTGGCGTAGATCTCTGCCTCACAGCTGGAGCCGAGAACTGAAGACGAACGTGTAGAACGCCAGGAAACTGAACCAGAACCAAGGCTGAAGGTGTAACCCTGTGACGACCGCTGCGTAGCCTGGTCGTCAACCCGAGAGGCGTCAGAGTGACCTGTGAGGACAACGTCACCCCGTCCTCCAAGCACGAGCCCCATGCCCGATGTACTGCACAAGTAGCGTAGTACCCTCTTGGCAGCATCCATGTGCACCTTTCGGTGCCGACCAGGAGCCACGTAACGAGCCAGAAGGCCAAGAGGGTACGCAAGGTCAGGACGAGTGCAAGTCATCAGGTACATGAGGCAGCCCACTAACTCTGGGTAAGGACCACTCAGCTCTACGGACTCGTCCAAAGGTGGAGCTGAGAGCGAGTGACCTGTAGCCAGAGGAGTGGCCTGTGCTGAGGACCAGGTGAAACCGAAGCGCTGAAGGACCTGCTGCACCATGTGTGAATGAGTCAGTGTGATGGTGCGGCGTGCTCTGTCCCGGGTGATCTGCAAGCCAAGGTAGCTGCGCAGTTCACCCAGGTCTGTGCACGTGTGTCTCTTCTGCAGCTCCGACTTCACCAGGGCGAGAGCCTCAGTGTCAGCAGTGGCAAAGACCAAGTCGTCGGCGTACACGAGAACGTAGAACGGCGGCAGCGAAGTGTCGGTGCGCAAAAACAGTGACGGGTCAGCAGTCGACGGAGCAAACCCAAGAGCCGCAAGTGTCGTTCTCAGTGTGTCGTGCCACTCACGTGGCGCCTGGCGGAGACCGTAGTCCGGCCGCCGGAGGCTCCACTGGGTACCAGGAGGGAACGACCTAGTGAAGCCAGGAGGGCGGCGCAGCCAAATCTCCTCGTGCAGGCTGCCCTGTAAGAAGGCTGTGCTGAAGTCAAGAGAGTGAAGCTCGTAGTCACGCTGAGCAGCAACGTGCAGCAGCACCCGAAGAGTGGTCATCTTCGGGGTGGGGGAGAAGGTCTGGAAGAAGTCAACTCCCTCTCGCTGACTGAAGCCTCGAGCCACGTAACGAGCCTTGAAGACAGGCGGAGAACCTGGCGGCCGCTTCACCCTGAAAATCCACATGCCACTGACAATGTTCGCCCCAGGAGGGGGAACCTCGTTGACGTAGGTGCCTGTGGACTTCCAGGATGCCATCTCTGCGTCCATGGCTGTCTGCCATTGAGAGGAGTACTCACCCGCGATCGCCTCAGCGTAAGAGCGCGGGGTAGGGATGTCTGGTGCATCCGGGTCTCCCTCAGGGGCAAGCAGCATGGATACGAGATGAGGCGCAGCGGCTGCAAGACACTCAAGGTCCTCCTGTCTGTCCTCAAGGACGTCCGTGCCAAGAGCACACTCACCCCCGACGGACGGAGGACAGACAGACGCAGACTCAGCAACAAGACTGGCGGCGTAGTCTAGACGACAGTGAGCAGCAAAGGCAACAAGCTCAGTGACGAAGGCAGACGCAGCAGCAGACTCAAACAACGGGTCAGTGACAACAGTGGCAAGCAGACGCGTGACAGTCGAGTGGTCAGCACGAAACCGGTCAGACGCAGGGTCAGCAACGACAGGCAGAGAGGACACAGGGGGAGGCGGCAGAGGAACACGCGGTGAAGGAGAGGAAGAACGACGAACTACAAGGGGAGGGCCGGAGACAGCCGGCTGGCTCTGAGGAGGAACACGACGACCGGAACTGACAGGGGAGAGAGGACGCGACGAAGGCTCACGACGCTCTGCAAGGCCACTAGGCTGCTCTGTGTACGGAGAAGGAGCAGGCAGCGGTGAGCCAGGCTATAACGGAAGACCAGTAGACGAGGGAAGACTGAGAACCTGGCGAAGTGCAGAGTCAGGTGGTTGTGAGAA